TGTTATTTTAAAATTTATAGTGAACGAGTAATCAGTGGGTGTACTAAATAATTCTTAGGGTCTCTATTTCAGATTGCCATCATGTCACAAGGTCCACAAGGTCCACAAGGTCCACAAGGTCCAAAAGGCGTTGGACCACCACCACCTAAACCTGATGGTACTGAAGGGACAGCCACTGTCACTCTCACACTTAATGATGAACACGATGAAAGCAAGACTATCGTGTATAAACGTAATGGCTTGATTATTAGTTCTCGTAACAATGAAGATTTCAAGAATTTTSTGAATACCAAAACCAAGAACACTGAATTCTTCATATACTTTTGCTCAATTGATCTGCCTGAATATTGGAAGGATCGTTTAATYAAATATGAAGTAAAAGTCCATCGTTTTACCAAGCCAAACGATGACAAATGTTATACAATAGATCAGAATGCAGCTGAAGGCATTGTAGTTGTCAAAGGCTCACATCACATATTTTTGCCTTTAAACGTGGGCAAGTTCAAACTAAAATACACAAGCAGATTTCCTACGTTTTTAAAAGATTACAGTAAAAACTTCAAGTGCGATCAGCAACAAATTGATTGCAAAGGAAAATATAAGGGATTGATAAAGTATGAGTTGATAAAGTATGAGAAAACTGTAGTAAAGTTTAATAAAATCACTTTTTCGAGTAACAACTATAGACTTGAGTTGAGAGATAAATTGTTTGACAAGTTGGTTGATGGCCCACTACTTCTGTGCAGCAATGGAAAGGAATATGCAGTTGGTTGGTGTGCTAAAGCTCGAGACAACAACAGCAAAATCACGTGGTACAAGTTYAAGCCTCAAGGTTCGTATAATATCAGATTCCACGTTACAGCAACTTGTCTCAATTCTCTCAGAAAATACATGCATGGAATCATTATATCGGTAGTAGAATATTTATTTACAGCATATTAAATTATTATCATTAAATTCACTATAACAGGTTCAGATATAACAGAAATTTGGAAAGCTTCTTGTGATCAACCTGATAGTGTACAGCCAGCCCCTGAAGGAGCATCCAGTACCAGTCAGCCAGCTCCTGAAGGAGCATCCAGTACCAGTCAGCCAATCCCTGAAGGAGCATCCAGTTCCAGTCAGCCAACCCCTGAAGGAGCATCCAGTACCAGTCAGCCAACCCCTGAAGGAGCATCCAGTACCAGTCAGCCAACCCCACAAGGAGCATCTATAGCCGGTCCTCCCATACAAGAACCTTCAAGTAAGCGTAGCGATTAGTGCAATTTCTAAGTTCATTTTTATCATCGGTTTTCATATATGCAATCGGTGTATTGAGTTCATTACACTTTGCGAATACGATAAATATTACATGGACGCGCGCAGAACGGATTTTATCTTCTGTTCATCTTGTGAGCTCACCATAATCATCTATGAAAGCAAATTATTTACCTACAGTATATAGAGCAATCAGAAAGAACCGTCGATGGTTTAGTTGTGGATATCTTGTTCAAAATGTTTCCTTTTTTCAGCTCTAATGAAAGATCTAATCCAAACAAACTCAACAGTTAAAGACTGCCTAAAAAATGGTCTTGATTACGACTACAAATTGTTAAGTAACTGGAGACACCTTGCCGATCAACTGAAAGATCCTGCAGTTCCTCAAGAAGTGAAAGAAGCTTGTGAAAGTGGTACAATCCACAGTCCAACTTTGGAAGTTCTGGGGAGACCCGATATATGCATAAAACCAGTTCAAGAGCTTATGGACAAACTAAATGGAAATGGCTTGAATCGAAGATGTGATGTTCACCTTCAATTGAGTAACGGGATTCCTGAAGGTAAGGTTTTGAAACTACTTCTTTAAACAGGATTGCACTGAGAAGAATGTAAAGCTTGTGGAATTTCATCTTTACCCAATTCTCAGTATC